TATAATAAACATAATTATTAAGAAACGCTCGCTTGTTCGAAAGAAAATCTTCAGGTCAGCGAAGCGACGCGAGTGTGCCAGGCATCGATCGACGGAAATCTTCGACTAGAACAATCGAAGCGAATCGAATCGTCACGAATTATGAACGATGAGTCGATCGATGAAGCGAATTACCAAACAGCGTCTAATCAATCTACCGTCCAATCAAAACAATCGATTCACACGATCGTTACGCGTATCGAATCACGATGTATTCGATATCAATTTTCAGCAAAATTTCAATCGCCGACACCCGACACCGTTTCCGTGCGCGTCATTTTTTTTTCCACGATTCCTCCGGCAGGGCGAGGCGAAGTCCTCGCGACCTCGTCGTTCAAGCCATCGGAAATCATGCATCGGTGGAAGCTTCGCGCTCGCTTCCCCCCTTCTTGCTCCTCGTTTCGCAGCGCTCTCTCTCTCTCTCTCTCTCTCTCTTTTCTCTTCCTCGCGCGCGGGGTAAGGCGGCGCGTATTATGAACGCGGCGCGGCGTGGCGCGGCGCGGTGTGTGAATAGCGAGCACGTGCATTTCCCACAGAAAAGCAATGGGGGCTATGCGCCTCTCGGCGACGGCGTGGCCAGCTGGGAACACGGTCGGTCGGTCGGTCGGGGCACTCTCGGGGTTCGGCTTCGCTTCGCCTTCGGCCGTCGCGCGTCGCGCTCTCTCTCGCACTCGCTCGCACGTTGCAGAGAGGGATGGACGGCCATTTAAAAGAAAAAATACTATCGACGATTTTATTTCGCCCCGTTGTCGACTGTCGTCGTCGGCCGTGGCGCGCACGAACGGCGTAAATTATCGATGAGGCGGTGAGAGGGAAATCGACATCCATCCGCGAGCGACCATTATTTATTTTATTGCCGCCCGCGGGCATTCCGACCGCGTTACGCCGCTGTTGGAAATGCGTTCTTTCTCTCCCCCCCCCCTCTCTCTCGTTCTAGTGGCATCGATGAGCGCACGCGCACACACACAATATATATAGCAATATAAAAATGTAATGCATATATTAACAAAGCATACATACATGACGCATGTAACAAAAAACTACACACACGCACTACACACTCGCAGGATGTCTGACAATAATATATAAAACTGATGTGTGCGTGTAGCTTAAGTGAAGCTGAAGAGAAAATGCCTCTGCCATTTTGCGAATAATCGCGCGAAACTTTGAGTAATCAATTATCGAAGAAGATTGACGAATGAACTTGGCATGATGATCTGTTAAACGTGCCGTGAGATGGCGACATCTGTCGTCGCGTGCTTGCGGATTGGGTCGAAGTGAGGCAAGAAGTCCTGTATCACTTCGCAAAGTGGACACGAAAACTCCTCGGGGTTATTAATTGAAAAGAAGATTGGCGCACACTGATGTTCACAGATATTCTTTGATTAATAATGCAAAGTTTCGCGCGGAATCAATTATTTGTCTAATTATATTTACAGTTAGGGGAAAAGCCTCCCTCGGGTTTCCTGTCGCGAGCAATTTTTCCCGTGCCTCTCGGCGCGCACGGTCCGAGTTACGAAATGAAATTCGTTTGAGCAGAACGATAATGTCGAGCGAGAGGAACATGACCTTCTCGAATTATTCAGGTATCGTGAATGATTCCAGCGTGTGTTATTACTACGTCGCACGGTTATGAAATAAAGATCGGTTGCGATACGCCAAACAGAGGGGCTATATATCGATTGGCAGAAATCCACTCGGCGGAGCGCGACCGCGCTCGACGGTGGGACGGTCGAGAAAGGGGGACGAGAAGGGCGGGGGAGGGGCGGGAAGGGAAGGGGGGCCGGTTCGCGAGACCGGGTATGATCTTGACTTAGCGAACGATAACCCACCACCTTTCTGTCCCGCGCGAATGCAAAAGTTCACACTGCCATTTAAACCGATTTAACTCACGGCGGCGTGATTGACGACTTATTATCGTTCTCCTCGTTGCGCATTATGGCGCCTTCAAGCCGTAAGACCGTTCCAGATGATCTGAGAAGATACGCGTACAATGATAACCGTCAGACCCGCGCGCGTCACTCGATACCTCGATACCGCTGAAAAGCGTGTCTAGTCGATGATACGGCGAGTCCACATCGGCTTGTTTCATTCCCGTCGACGTGTGTGTAATTGTGAACGTGACTCAAGCCTGTATCAGACTATGGACTGAGATTGGATTGAAATTTCACCAATTGGAAAAAGAAAATGATCTTAAATATAGTAAACTTAGCCCTAATTGGTTAAATTTCAATCCAATACTCAATCCCAATCCGTAGTCTGATACGGGCTTTAGGCCGCCATGATGGTCATCGCTAATGCTCGCTGTAATGCCACCGCGAATTTACGCATCAAACGTGTGATCAAATGCTTATAATAAATTATACACGGGGTGTTAAAAAGAGGATTCAAGACTTTAAGGGCAGACAGTGTTTACAAAATGGGGGGAACAAATCGTGATAAATATGGGTCGGAAAATTAACATCGTCGAGGTTATGAGCAATTATTTATTTTAATTAAAACAAGTGACTTGCTCGCTTCTTTCTGGTGCTTTTATATTTTACGATGTAATTTGTCTATCGATGAAGAAAATACCGTGCTTTAAAAGAATTCCTAAAACAAAGTCTCTTCGCTCTTGCTCGAGATATAAACCAACATCTCTTTTCTTTCCATTTATACATAAGCAGTTGTCAGCCACCTATCTTCGTGAACAATGAACAATTTGAAGAGAGCTATCCAAAAGTTTTCACGGTACAGTAAGAATGACGTCGTATCACTCCAATCAAGAAATGACAGGAATGCATTTTATGTACGGCCGCGCACCGGAAGCGAGTAAGTCATTTGCTTGAGTTGAAATCAATAATTGTTCGTAACTCCGACAATATTAATTTTTCTCCATGCTTATTCAGATTTTTTTCTCCTCTATTTTGTGAGTATTGTCTGCACTTAAAGTCCTGAACCCTTTTTTTGAACACCCTATATACATGTATATTTGTAGGCGACAGAGGAAGCCGACGAAATGAGCTAACGAATTTACGCGTCGCGAATGAAATTTATTCACCGCGTCTTCGGCGGTTCAAACTCGAGTCGAGCATTGGGATAATCGATGGGAATCAGTGACGACATCTTAATATATTTAAAGGGAGGGATAAAAACGCACACATACACACACACACATAAATCGCGTTCGCTAACTCGCGGGCTTTTCACTCTGTCACCATTATTTCTAAGCCGATCTTGCGAATTGCATTTATTTGTCCGCCGCATTCTGCTAATTGATGCTTGAAAGTTGAAATAATCGGTGAAGCACCGATTAGCATATTTAAAAGAAAAGACAAAAAGATAAAAATAGGCGCAGCTCTCGACAACCCGCGGACTTTCCGCGGCTCTCTCTCTCTCTCTCTCTCTCTCTCTCTCTCTCTCTCTCTCTGTCGTGGCATTTATAAATCAATCCCAATAGCCGCTAACACGCGTTTAGCGGCAATACAGCTTGCACTATATCGTCATATCGCTTAGAACGGTCTCGAAGGGAACTCAAATATAGAGTCGAAACGTCAATCGCGACGCTTGCGTCATATTTTATTTCGACACCGATATTGCAAATCCGTCGTCGCGGACGCCGGCGCGGCGGCGGCCGGGCTTTCTAACGCGCGTTTGTTTCCCCGTTAACGACTATCGATTTTTCGAAAAGAAAGTAAAATATTTTCGCGCAGCGCTGACCGGAAAAGTCCTCCCGAGAGCTTTGGGGAATTCAGGAATATTTAATCGAAGATATTTCAGCTGCTGAGATGTAACTGCAAATGACACCTTTGTTATCGCGAGTGAGAACTTTCGTATCTGAGTATCCAGCTATATCAAAACTCGGTTGGGCTAATTGAGAATGATTAGATCAGCCGATTAGAAACTTCCTGCGGCGAATCTTTCTGTCTCTATTCCGGCCGGGCGGTGAAAAATTTAGTCACACCGGCGGAATTGTTTCTTCCGTGGTTACTGCGGGGAAGGACTGTCTCGATTCGTGTAATTGAATGACGAGGACCGAATAACGAGCAAATTTTTGTTACCACAGCAGAAAAGTTTTTCTGTTCACGCAGCCGCGTGAAAACTCGGTTGAGACGACTGAAAGCAATTGGCTGGTTAGAAGCCTCCCACAAGAAGGGAGGCTTTCTGCTGCCATTTTGTCTGCTTTTTACTCTGACGAAGCAGCAGACCATTCACTCGCATCAATGGAATTGTTTTTCTCATGCGCACGTGTGCGTTAAAAGTCTGGAAAGGAACGCGTACACACCCGTTGTGAGATTTGAATTAGCGACGGCTCTCACCGCTCTCTAAATTTCTTGAAGTGGAATTTCACTCGAAAAGTGGAGTCGACCGCCGAGTCACTCGAATTCGAGTGACCGTCCACTCGACAGCATCATTCCGCCTTTGAATAATCAGTAAATAATAGGTCAACATGGCGTACAATGAAAACTCTTTAATAATCGAGTTGCAGGAAATGTCAAAGCTTGACTGAAATATTCGCTTCACGTGACATTCCACAGCAAGAAATTTAGAGAATAGCCTATAGACGCTGTTTGTCTCTCTCTCTCTCTCTCTCTCTCTCTCTCTCTCTCTCTCTCTCTCTCTCTCTCTCTCTCTCTCTCTCTCTCTCTCTCTCCCCTTCTCTCTTTACGAAATTTTTATTTAAAAATAATTTTATATATCTCACAAGTTCTGAGCAACACCCCAAGAAGTTCGGAAAACGGGTTACCTTTCTTATTCATAACATTCATCTTCAAATTGACTTTTAAGTTGCTCTTCACGAATCCTTTATCAGGAATAATTCTATCTTGAGTAATATTCCACCGTAAGAATTTTAAAAATTAGCCTATCCTTACTCTAATGCTCATCTCCAGGTTGACGCTAGGTTTCCCTTTTCCACAGATCCTTGATTTGAGAACACCCTGACCGCGCAACTCACATTTTACCTTTCGTTTCTGTTCTAGAGCGCCTATAGGCCTATCACGCCTTCGCGTGTCCTTCGCGTGTCGAGCTCGCGGAGGGACGGCCGAACGACCAAGAAGTGGAAGAGGGTTGCTACCCTGTACGTCGGCCGCGGTCGTGCGACAAGTAGCGCGCGATCTCGTCCCGCCCTCGCCCTGCCGAGGCATCGTCGGCGAGCATCGGCGTCGAGAGTGCCGGCAGTCATCGTCGCCGTAGTCCTCGTCATCATCCGGCTATCATAGCGCGGTAGCAGCACCCCGAAGCCGGGGGTGGTGGTTCACATCGTCTCGCGGCGATGGTGGCAGCTGCCACTGCTGCGGTCACCGCCACTGCCAGCGTGGTGGCCATGCAGGACCGTCAGGACATCTCCGCACAGTACAATCAGGTAATTGCGCGAGCGAAAAATACAAATAACCGTAGCAGGAGAAACCAGAGCCAACGAGGAGGCCACTCCGTTTCATTGCGACCACGACAGGAATCAGCTTCTCTCTTTCTCTCAAATCGCGAATTCTCCATCGCGAGATTTCTTCAACGAGGGGGGATCAGGTGAAGACCCTGATCGACTTCATGAGGGAAATAAGTTGATTAATTAACGATATATCGGACTTGGTCGGGAAATTTGGACATCTTGGGGCTTTCGTTATGTCAGGTTTTTCCATTTTCTGCAAAGGTTTTAATTAATTTTATATTTCCTCAGGAGTGTGACTAAAATATCATTTAGTGATATGGTAGTCGTTTTTTGTTGATAGTTTTAGTCTCGAAAAATTTAAGGAATGATTATACATGGATTGAAAAAATGACATTTGGTACACTGAGAGAAAAGTATATGATATTTGGAACTATAATAATATAGTAATTAAATTATAGTCCGAAATATCGTATTTATAAGCATTACCATAATATCGGAAATAATTACGAGAAAGGCATAGTATAATCAACCATATAACATTTTTACTAAGAATTATAGTAAGTTAAACTAAAATTATTGTATGGATGTAAATATAAAATGGTAGGTAAAAGTAACTCTTTTATATAGTCAATATTACCAGAATATTTGTTAAATGATGACAAATGTAACTATATAAATATTAAATCTCACTATATTTGTGAATGAGAAATTACCATATATGTGCTAAAAGTAACTAAAAAATTATTTAAGACAATCATTGACTATATATTTGTGTTTATTCTACTATATTTTGCAGGTTCCCACGAACTATAAAAATATGATTGACGCCAAAATTAACTATAAAATATAGTGAGATTATAGTTAATTCAACTATATTTTTCTATCAGTGTATTAACTACCGGGCTTTCTAAGATGGCGATGAGTAACCGTTTCAAAGTGACTGTCATTGTGAACAGCACGCTTGTAATGTTCTAGCATTTAGTATGACTTTTAATTTCATTCAAAATTTGTTACATAAGATGTCGAGTAAGAGCATACATTTGGACCGCTATTAATCGACTTATTAAAGGAAACCGATGCGATTGTCCCAAATTGGGGCACTGTCGTTGATCGGGATGTTCACTTTATAGCTGGTGTTCCGATTTGATTTTCATTTGATGTATTGCAGTAGAACGTTTTCGACGTGAATGACATTGATCGCCATTATTACAGTTATCATTATTGTCATTATCACTATTATCAGCGTTTCGTCATTGTTGTTATCGCTATTTCCAGATGCAGAGCCAACATGGAATACCCCACCAAACCGTACCGCCGTACAACGCGGGGTACGGTCAAAGAGGACCAATGGCGGGAATGGGGCCAGTCGGGATGAACAATTTCAGTAACTTAGGCACCGTGAGCCCGATGCACCCTATGAATTCCATGAATTCGATGAACAGTATGAATGGCATGAACACGATGAATCCCATGACGATGGGAAGCATGAACAGTATGAGTGGCATGAACGCGATGAACTCTATGAGCTCTATGAGCAGCATGGGCAACATGGCGATGAACAACATGATGGGACCCAACAATATACAGATGAACAAGATGGCCGCTATGCAGCAGGTACGTTATTCCTTTTTCTTTTCATCGCGACGACGTCTTGTCCAAAAGACCAAGAGAGACGCTACAACATTTGGTCCTTGTTTCACAGGCTCAGTCGCACCAAGGCTATTCCCGAAGACTGGCGCCTTATCCTAATCCGACCATGCACATGGCGCAGAAACGGCAGCAGGTGCCGTCGTACCCCGGCCAAAGCCCGGCGGCGATGCAGCCGGGCGGCTTTAACGGCATGACGACGTCGCAGTACCCGAGTAACTACCCCAGCGGTGCGCGGCCGAGCTTTCAGCCGCAGTATCAGCAGCCTACGCAGAGCATGATCCCCAACGCCGCCGCAGCCGCGGCCGCGGCGGCGGCCACCGCGGGGGTCTTCGGGCCTAACACGGCGATGATACGGGGCTCGAACATGAGGCAGGCGGCGCCGTCTTACAACGCCGCGTCGCAGGCAGCGGCGGTCGCCGCGAACCAATATTACAGCAACGCCGGGGTGCCCGTGAACATGGGGCCGACGGGCACGGGGGCGGTTGGCAATCAGTTCGTAGGTCATCAACAGCCGAACGCAGGATACGGAGGCGGCGGCGGCGGCGGTGGTGGCGGTGGCGGCAGCGGTGGTGGCGGTGGCGGCGGCGCCGCCAGCGGGACCTATGGCGCCGCGTCCGCCGGCGCCGTGGCGACCAGTCAATACCAACAGGACGTGGCGGCGTCGATGAAGTCGACGAGCGGCGGCAACGTCAGCTATCAGCACAGCCCCATACCCGGCAACCCGACGCCGCCGCTCACGCCCGCCACCAGCATGCCTCCTTACATCAGCCCGAATCCTGATATCAAACCGAACTTCAACGACATGAAGTCGCCGGTTAACATACAGAGTGAGTGCCCGCCTGGGACCATTAACACGGCCCAATACGGCACTTGCGGCCCTTGCGGCCCTTGCTGCCCGATAATGTGCAATGTCATTGGCCCTTCGCTTGGCTCTCCAGTTGGCTTTCCGTCTGGTTCTTTCATCGGTTCTTCAGTTGATCCTCTAGTTGGTGATTCTCAGTTGATCGCTCAATCGACAAATTTTTCGAATAATCATTTCTTGCGACAAGCGTCCAATGTTAACACGCCGTCGAAGAGGTTAAAAAAGCCGAGAAAGCCAAGAGAGCCGAAAAACCCAACAAAGCCGAAAAAGCCAAGAGAGCCAAGAGAGCTAATACAACCAGAAGCAATGATGCCAATGCCAATGCCAATGCCAATAAAGCCAGAGCCTATAGAGCCAGGGCCAATAGAGGCGTGGACAGAAGGTGGAGTTAGCTTCTTTAATTTTGTTTCTTAATCGTGATAGTTTCCATTCTTGCGATGATAACGATAAGTTACACAATAGTAACGACAATAATCGCGCGGTGAATATTCAGGGAAGTGTCTCACCCCAATCCCCTCGAAATTAATGCCGGTAGTCCTTAGTAATGTATTCAGTTGAGATTTGTGCAGGGTGTAGCATACATTTTATGGTATGACGCAATACTCCCTGTATTATCGGGAAAATTGAAAGTGATTTCCAGGAGAATATTGGATAAAAAGCGTCAGAATTTTTAGACTCCCGGCTTCTCGCCGCGCCATTCCTGATCGACGACATCAGGAACGACAAAATACACGTTAGAAATTCTTGCAAAATAAGAAATCAAGAGGTATATCCATGAAATGACATTATTTACGACCAATCGAATATATCTGTAAAATTGTCCCAATAATAAATTACCACAAAATTGACGTGACATGTACTCTGCTTTCCTAACCTTTTCTCGCATAATGACTGTATCATTGTTAATTTTACAGTTGTTTGTTGATTGTTGGAACGAAAGAAAACTGTCTGTCGGCACTATTTTACAAATTTGCGCGATCGACCGTAAGTATCATCTTGTCATCCATTTACTAAATCCATTTACTAAAACGTATTTTGCGAGAATTTCGAGAGTTTCGCATCAATGCCGTGATTCAAGATGATGACCACGGCGAGATCACTTTCAGTTATCCTCCCTATGATACATTTCAGATTTGCGAGGGATTCAGTGAGGTGTGACCTGAATTTTTACCATAACGATAAATAATTATTTATTATTGCTGTCGCGTTTATTTATTATTATTATTATTATTATTATTTTATAGACAATTTTTTGAGTTTTTAAACAAGCAAATGATAAGATCACTGTAATAATAAATTATTGTCTACGCCCGAATTCATCTCGTGCTTCTCTGTTCTAGACGAAGAATTGAGACTGACATTCCCCGTGAGAGACGGCATCATTCTCCAGCCCTTCCGTCTAGAGCACAATCTGGCCGTTAGCAATCACGTGTTCGCGCTGAAGCCCACGGTGCATCAGACGCTGATATGGCGATCCGATTTGGAGCTGCAGCTCAAGTGTTTCCACCACGAGGACAGGCAAATGAACACGAATTGGCCGGCGAGCGTGCAGGTCTCGGTTAACGCTACTCCCCTCGTCATCGATCGCGGCGAGAACAAAACCACCCACAAACCTCTTTACTTGAAGGATGTCTGTCAAGTGGGAAGGAACACAATACAGATCACCGTGTCCGCGTGCTGCTGTGTAAGTTGCCAATGATTAGAAAAGACAGCGTCGTGTGAGTCCGAATTGAAAGGGACGCCCTTCGCGAACGAAGCAACTTCCTTTCAAGGATGACGTGCGGTTTGATTCGCTCTTCGATGCGTTCTTCGTGCCAACTCATTCGTCTAAACTCTTGTATCTTATGCGCAACTTATGCGTTTATTTATAAAAATTTTTTTCTCTTTTTCTTGTACATTTATTCTTGTTGACACGAGTGCTTCATGTACATTCGTGTACTTTGCACACTCTTCTACATTTATAGATATTTATATCTCTTTATAATTGTACGTGTATAAATTCGTACAGTTCACACCTAGGGATACAACGATAAATCGATAATATCGAAATATCGTTATATCGAGAGACAAATATCGAATATTTATCAATATTTTTTTATCTCCGATAAAATCGATATATCGATGTGAATTTTATTGATATTTCGTATTTTTCAGTTACAGAGCTCTGGGGGCCTATTAGGGTTCTACGGCCGAGATGAAAATTACAAAAGTGAATTCACTAGAATATATATTATGTAATTGGTCGATGTCTATAGTAAATTCACTCACTTTTATCATTTTCACCTCGATCGTTGAACCGTAATAGATCTCTTGCTCCATGTATGCGGTGATCTCCGGCGAACGACTGCGGTTTATTATATATTTTCTAATAAGAATATGACAATAAATTATGTGAAGATAAAAATTTTTAAAGGTTTTTTTTTAATTTTTCGTGTATACTCTTTACATGCATACGCCTATATGTATACATTTTTTTTATATAGATATCGATATAAATATCGATATTTTTCAAAATTATCGATATTATCGTTATTGATAGTTATAAATGACGATAATATCGTTATCGATATTTTGATTAATCGTTGCATCCCTATATACACCTCTTTTCCCTGCGCTTGTACATGTTTTAATATTCGAACGTTTCTCACACACACACAGTCACATCTGTTCGTCCTCCAACTGGTTCACCGGCCGAGCGTACGAAGTGTACTTCAGGGATTACTACGTAAAAGGCTTCTGTCGGCGGACAATTGCATAACTAAAATCAAAAAGAATTTCAATAGTACAATTTCGACCAATGGCATACAATCGGAGAAGGACGTAGTGGAGCAAACAGCACTCAAGGTAATCACTTCGCCGCTGACACATTTCGTAGCTCCTGAGTTTTACTCAACGCAATGTCGAGGACTTAACGAGGACTACGACTTAGACTTAAGAGTTCTGGCTTTCTTTCGTCACATACTCACACTTGTTTTTTTGCCGTGACAGGTATCCTTAAAATGTCCTATTACATTCAAACGCATCGTACTGCCAGCTAGAGGGCACGATTGCAAGCATGTACAGTGTTTCGATCTGGAGTCGTATCTGCACTTAAATTGCGAACGAGGCTCGTGGAGGTGTCCGGTGTGCTCGTAAGTTCAATTAAATCAATCACAATTACACAAGTTACACAATTAAATCGTTACGTAACACGATCGAATTGTGAAAGAATGAGGGGAGCAGAGCCGAGCACGAAACGATCAATCGTGTCGCGTGTCTTGCAGAAAACCCGCGCAATTGGAGGGCTTGGAAGTCGATCAGTATATATGGGGAATTTTGAACACGTTGAATACCGCGGAGGTCGACGAGGTAACGATAGACTCGGTCGCCAACTGGAAAGCCGCGAAGAGTAGCTTAGCCGGCATCAAGTCCGAGGAGGAGAACGAGTACAAGAGAACAACGGCCAAGGCGATGTCGCCGGGCAGCATGAACATGCCGACCATGAACAATTGGGAGATGAATCAGGCGATGAGCCCCTACTTACCGCCCGACATGAACAGCATCGTGAGCGGCTCTATGATGAACAACATCAACCACCGGAACACCTCGGGCGGAATGTATGAGATCAACTCAGCGACGAGCACCTCCGGCAATAACGACTACGCCGGCGGTGCGGGTCCTCTCTCGCATCTCAACGAGTCCGTCAACACGTTGGACACTCTTAATGCTATAGAGAAGTCGATCAACGAGCAGGTGAGCACTGATAGTCGAACATTATGAGAAACGTGCTGAGAACATCAAGATGACTTAGCGCTTTGTTATTGCCAGACCAAGCGTTCAGCAGCGTACAATGTTTGTAAGCTGTGATTAATTATATACAAGGTATTGCGGAAAAAAGGTTCAAGACTTTAAAGACAGATAATATTCACAAAATGGAGGAGAAAAGTCCAGAACCCTTTTTCTCTTTCCTGCATAAGACAAATCTATAAATCTATATGAACGATTGGTAACGTGTCAAGACACTCGCATGAATAATCCTCAGGACATCCCGGATATCCTGTTCGCCACAAATAGTGGAAACTTTCAAAAGACGTCTAAAGTGAAATTGTAAAGTCTTTACGGAGGCTTAAAGAAGGCGTCTCTTAAAAATTGCTACTACCCGAACAGGCGGGATTCTAAAACACTCTTCAGGGTATCTTGGACTCAACTAACGATGATAATTCGCCATCGTTCATCAAGCGGCGTATGATAGACACTCTTAACCGCAACACATTTCAGATGCCTCACACCCCGCATACGCCGCACACTCCGCAATCGACGCCTCACACTCCGGGCGGCGGCAACAGCGGCCCGCCGAGCGTCCCACCCGCGTCGCAGGAGTCCACGGGGAACCACAACACCTCCGGCAACACGAGTACAACTATAAGTAACGATAACAACGCCACCGCGGACATACCGTCGGACCTAAACTTCGACCCCGCTGCGGTCATAGACGGAGAAGGCACCGGTCAGGAGGCGCTAAATGTAAGTATGCCAACTATGCGTGACCTTGCGCCTTTCGATTCCTCAACGATGATCAACCGGGATCTCGGTCTCAACCTCGCGAGTCGTTTTCAAGTGTGTCATTGTCTGTGATGTAAACTTATGAACATTCATTTTCCCCCTGTCACAGCTCCTGTCGGACAACGTTGTGGACGCGATGGACTTCTTGTCGTATCTCGATCCACCGGACCTAAACACTCCGCCCAGCAGTGGCGCTAGCAGCGGTAACCCTTCCTCCAGCGACGACATATTGGCGCTTTTCGATTAAGACAAAAAGAACATGCGAATTGGTGTTTTCCTTTTTTTTTTGTAAAGGTGTAATCAAATCGCGACTCTCGCTTTGGAGTGACCAGAAAGTAAGATGAAAGAGAGAGGGGAGGGAGGAAGGGAAAGTTGACACCTCGCTGCAAATACTATTCTGCGGCTACAGTGTACTTCCGCGCGCGAATTCCTCGGAACAGGCAACCGCGTAACACACGGCCCTCCCGCCAGGGCGGGGCCAGATGCACAAAAAAAATCGGGTTGCACAAAAATTCGCCGATCTTCTGGGCCCATTGATGACAACATCGCGGGGGTAGATTTACGGAACTAACCTACTCACTGTACGCGGACACTTGTAGTGAGGGAATTCAAATTTTATTAGCGTCACTATGGGTGCTCTCACCTAATCAATGGTACAAAAAAACTATAGTTGTAGTTATAATATTCCTATAGAAGTTAGGATGAATTAGGGTTTAAGAGCGGCGACTTTATGAAGGACGCGACAGCACGGAGGAAGGTACTGTTAATAAGTAAACTCTCGCTGTGAAGGGTGTTATTGCACGGATAGCTGCTGCGCTATCATGTCACGTTAAGAATGTGTCTCCCTTGAGTCCCGAGCCGGAGGCATGTCCTTAATGTTCGGTAATACATATTAGCGCATGTTGCGCCGCGCGCCTCAGGAAAAGGAAATATTCCAGAAATAGTTTTAACGTAGAGCGGCATTCACGCCCGGCTGAGTTTTCCGTTCGAGCGAACGACGTTGCCATCGTACGAATCAACGGGCCGGCGGGGGTAGAGGGCTAAGGAGGAGGAGGAGGAGGAGGAGGAAGTAGGAGGTGGGAGGTGGGAGAGATAACCGATGGCCGACGATTGATCGCGAACGTTCATTAAGGATCATTGGATGTGCATTTCTCTTTGCGTATTATTATTTCGCCGCTTGAACGGGTCACACACGAGACTTGTTGTCGGGGGAGGGAGGGAGGAGAGGTTGTCCTTGCAATACACAGTCTTTACCTAGCTGAAACCGGTCTACTCGCACTCGGAGGCTATGATAGACCTACAGAACGCGACCAGAACGATAATTGTACAGTATCTACTTTTGTAAATAAGTTTTAATCCAGTTAAGAGACACGCTCGTCTGTTGGGGGAGAGAGCTACCTTGCTTATTAATGGATATAGTGCATATAGTGTTCCTTTTTCTTTCGAAAAAAAAAAACAGTTAGTGGCGACAGATGGAAGTGAATTAACTAGGGGACGTCGGGCTTCACCCTGGAGATTTAATAGCACAAGAAGAAACGCGACGAAGGGCCGAAGAGCGCCGAAAGAAGGAGCGAGAGCGAAGGAAGAGCAGGGCAGGGGAGAGGGGGAAACGGCATGCAGTTTACCGTTCATCATGATTTCGACCAGAAGGAAACAATTAGTATTATTCGCAGTAACGATTAGTATTATTCCGCGGGCAAGAGCACGTGCTGCGCGTAACGTTTTCGCGTTATCAGTCGAAGTCGCTGCGACTTCCTTCAACCGGACGTTCTTACACACCGTCACCCGGAGTGACGGATCATTTGCGTAAATTCGACCATCTCGTCACACACACACACAGACACACAATCGCGGGAATGTTGGCTGGAATAGTCCGAGTGACAAGCTCGAGCCTCGAGAATGACAAAGTTGTTTCGCGGTCGCGCGATGCGTGCGAGAGTGTTCCGCGTAGGGACCACGAAGGTAGAAAGATATGCGCGCGCGCATGTGTGTTGTGTGTGTGCGTGCGTGCGTGCGTGTGTGTGTGCGTGCATGTGCGCGTGTGTGTGTGTGTGTGTGTGGTGTGTGCGCATTCGGCTTCGCAGCGTGCGACGGGAGCCGCATTGTCCGTAAAATTTTCTCACCGACTTTTTCGACGGAGCTGCGGTCTTTTCTACCTCGCGCGACGCTCGTCTTTTTGTAATTCCGAGGAGGGGGAGAAAGAGAAAGAGATACATCAAGCGGAGGACGGGGGAGAGGGGAGGAGTGAAAATATCTGCGCATATGGAATTTATTTTCACATTTTTCGACGCGTGTGTAGACGTACGTCTTACATATATCTCGCGACTCGCGCGTTATTTAACCACTTTTTTGCATGATGCGTTCTTGAATTATGTTTTCTACTACGTCGTTGCGTGCGTGTTTCGCGATCGCTTGACTTTTTTGTTTCTTCCTTTTTTTTTTTTTCTTTTTTGCTTGAGTTTCCTCTCAGCCTCACGGCGACCCGACGATCGCCGTCGCGAACCTTTCGCCGTCGGTGAGACGCGCTTTCCGCGAGGGCCTTAAGAGAAAACCCGTGCACACTACGCGGTCCGCACACAATCAAATTTTATACGGGCAGCGAGAAGAACGGAGAAACGTGAGAGGGGAGAATCAAAATTTTCTGCTCGCGGGAGAGACGCGGACACGTCGCGCCTCCGCGTATATACGGTGTACATATACTCAGGCGCACGCTTCTAACGTTATTATTTACTACTCAGGGCAGTGGTTGCGCGGCAATTCGCGGGTGTGTGATGCAGCATGCGGAAATATCAATTCTGTATTATTTCTCGTTCGCACGCAATTCAGCGGCGAGCCGACCCGCCGTCCTCCGGCCTCTCGGCGGACGCGCGGCTCGGCGCTGGCCGTCACATTTAACACGAAGAAAAAAGAGTAACAAGAAATAAAATAAAAAAGATACTGCCAGAGTGATACCGCCCAAGACCCCCTTGCTTGTATAGTTACAAACATTTGTATCTTTTGTGATTATGAAAGATATATTTAAAGTGATCCCCTCATCTAGATTATACAAATTTTATATAAAAATGTATTTATATTCCACTGTGCAAAGCGGAGGGTGAGAAGGAAGGAGGGAAGGAGGGAGTGAGGGAGGGCGTGATGGGGAGCCGGGGAGAAAGAGTGGGAAAGGGCACGGAGAGACGGCGGAGCGAACTAGCGCACAGTGTGATGGATTAGGTGTAGTCGAGTTTCTATTCGTATTACTATAATATTAATGAGGTTTAGATTTTAATATTATACTTGTACTATTAAGGAGGCGTCAGAGAAAACATACTGTGTATATTACTTGTATATATGGTAAATAGAATAGCGATGTAAGAAAAGTGGCAGATACTTATTGGCCAGTTATTAATAGTGAAAATGATTATCTTACATACTTCTCAGAACCAAAAGATACGCGCAGGATGTAATAAGAGGTAACTTTAAAAGGGGGAAAAGAGAAAAACGAACCTAGAAAAGTATAATCTGTAAATGGCTGCGGCTGTCGACACGGCGCGACAACAGGTAACAGTCGGATATTGTACTGTTATTTCTAATAGAATTATTACTTATATATATATATATATATATATACATATACATATACATATATATATACATATATATATATATATATATATACATATACATAAAGACATAATAATTATCGAAAAGAAAATTTATTCAAACCGTAAGCTTTACTTAGGATTGCCAATAAGTAGTAAACGCAATCTCGCAATTGCGGTTGTACATAGGCAATGTCTATCTATATACTTAGCCAATACTATCCTAAAACTACACGAGATACACGATTTTAGTTTACGGGAGCCGCCTGGGGACCTGTCGGTGTCTCGCACGACTCGCGAATCGCGTCGCACCGGTTGAGCGAGAACAAAGCGGGAGAACGATTGCCGAGGGCTCGTCTCAGACTTACATTTGTATTCCTTCGTACTCATGTTCAGTCTCGTGAAAATATTAACGTAAGCCGAAGCATAGCCGTGTAGGCCGTGTAGACAAGAAGGGAGAGCACTTTTGTCCAAAGAAGATATTAAGCAGAGAGAGGGAGAGAAATATGCGACCGTTTGAAAAAAATAAATAAATAAAAGAAACAATTTGCGCGCGGCAGCTGCGAAAATCCGCGAATCTTCGTTCCTTTCTCGACCGCGGCGGTGCGAAAGAGCGAGATGTGCAGTGTGTTTTCCGACAGGTCTCCCTCGGCTCCAAGATTACGTACCTATTTATCTATCGTTAGGAGGCCTATATCATTTGATTTTACAACGCTCCACGAACAAACCGAACCGAGCATCGTGAGTGTCCTCTTTTGTCCATGGCCTGGAAACTTCACAATATAACGAAATACACACACATACACACACACACACACACACGTACACACAGACGAAGTATTTTTACGTATTATGAGGAAACCATTATCGGCTCATGGTGTGTCGGCTAGGCCGATCGCGCCGAGTGTCGATGTAGCCCCGATGACGTCTATAACGACTTTGTAACTGCATATACATGTGTACACACAGACACACACATACACACAGATACACACAACGCGCGAGTTCATTTAGAAGCGCGACATGCCGCGCGGCAGTATTTTTTACCGAGTGTCATATCAAAAGGTTCACGCATATTTCAGCAGTTTCCCGCCTCGCCCGTCGAGCGTGAGGATGCCCGTTTAGCGGATACACCATGAGTACTGATATCGGTCCTCGTGTCCACGAGGGTTTCTTCGTTCCGGATGCACTCTCCGTATTCCAGACAAATCGGTCGATCGGTACAGATGATTCGAGACGCGCGAGATACTCGCACGTACTAGCGCTTGCTCTCTCTCTCTGTTAAGGGTTACGGAAATGTGCGCGGTTTTACGAAGTGAAACTCCAGCAGAAACAAACGAGACGATGAGGAGGATGGAGGAACACTGATATCATTGGTTACATTCGCATAACAAATTTTAATATACAAAGACCAGTTTATAAACATGTATAACAGACACCACATTGTTTCTTGATAACAGTTAGAAACATTCAATAAAAAAGCATTAAAACATAGAGTGTGGATTATTTCGTCGCACTTTGCGTGTGCGGGGAGTCCCCGGGGGATTTGTCACGCCGCTGATTCCAGTGGGTGCACTGTACGCCATTTTACGCACACCGGTGAGGAGCACGCAAGTGCGAAATGAATGCGCAAGGTAAAATAGATGCAAGGCATCGTACGTTGTAAAGGATGACGTCAGGAACGAAGAAACGTATGTTGAAAAGTGTTCGCAGAACGGGTTTGGAAGCGAAAAGATATGTCTGGAAAATGTCACTTTTGTAATCGATCGAGCAGATCTGCGAATGTTCCACCAGATATCATGTCCTGCAGTTATTTGCAAGATTTTTTAGAGCGCATTTCCTCGCTTCTGACGTCATAATTCAAGATGGCTGCGGAGAGGAAACAGAGACTCACAATGGACGAGCGAATCGGTATACGAGTAGTTTCCCGAGTGATAAATGAGAAGCTAAAAGTTTCTTCTTTAAATATGCCGTATCTTTGGTAAAGATAAAAAATTTAATCGCAAGGCAAAGCTGAGAATTGAGAATAATCGTCAGACGTCTTTCTTATTTTACTTCAAACTTTTTTGCGATGAAATTCAACGTTGAGAATTCAGAGTTCATGGAAAGCAGAAGCTTCGAGTTTAAAGATACTTCTCGCGAAACCGTTTCGCTATTGCCATTTTTGCCGAGATTACAGCCTGTTGAATCTTGGCTGTGTTTTCAGATAAGGGGAAAGAGTGCGTGGCTGAAAACTCGTTGAGTCATACTACTGAAGAAATGCAGAAGGCGCAAAGCACGCAGCAGAAACCATGCAGTATAGTAACAGTTTCATTGGCTCAAACAAAATAGAGTTACACAACTATGAATTACACGTAGACCTTTCTAAGAAAGTCGCGGCATTATATATATATATATATATATATATAATATATATTATGCTCCTCGCAAAGTTTTTACACTATCACTCATTTCCATCTGTTCAGTTAAAAATACGACATGCATGCTTACAATTTTATATATTTAATTTCATACAGATCGTAAAAATATAAAAATCTCGCTGTTACGTGTAAAGTCTTTTTATTCCTGACAACAAATACAGCCACAGAGAAGAGGCCACATTTTTTTACTTCCTATTACTTTCCCTGTACAAAGTACCAAGATAAAATAACATTACCTAATGTTTACTACATATTAAACATCAAGTTACGGTAACATTACATGAACGTAAGAATCTCGCACACTGAATAATGCGTATCCGATATAACATATACTGCACATGATAGTAGTATATATGTAGCAATAATGTACATTATTGAGTGGGCAATGTATATTGTACATTGATATAATGTTAATTTTATCGGTATGGTCGGCTAATCAGATTAAAGGCGGCAACGTTCTCTGTTATTTTGTCGAGGAAAATGTTGCAACCGCTAACCGATGATCGTAATTTCATTAATTTATTAAGACGTCGTTCAAAAAGATACAAAATGCCGATACTATCTAAAAAACTTCCATCTCGAGTTACTATCTCAAGTTCGTCTCAAGTAAATAAAGTAACATATATATATAATCATCATTTAATTCGTATCATACTCGTTATCGCGTGCGGAGAGTGAACATCTGAAAAACACGTGAAAATTTATTTACAAAATATAAAATTTAAAAAGAAATATGAAAATTTTTCATGAAGTATATACAAAATGCAATTCGCGGACGAAGACGATCGACTTCGAAAACACGACGTGAAGTAGTTATTAATTATTACGAGTTTCGACCAGCCCCCGTTTCCTGGATTAATCGACAATCATTGACTATATTAATAGATGCTTTTATACGGGTGGATTGTTCAAATTTTTTTATTGTGCGCGATATTGATCTGTTATTTATTGATTGTTCAAAGGAGAGGAAATGATTCTGCGAAAGCAACACATTTATCACAATGTTGACTTTATGGTAATGTCTAGAAAGGAATTCACATGATTACAAAATACTGATAATCTTGTATTGAATGTTAAGGTTATATAGTATGTTATGCTGGGTTATGTACAGTTTGAATCCAATGTGGCTGGCCGAAAACTTTTTGCAACTACTTCGATACATCGATGGTAAGGCTTATCCGTCGAACCGAGTGTACAAATCATTTGCGAAATAGTTTTCACATATTTTTTCCGACGGAATTGAGAAGTTGGTGCATCAAGTGATTCACAATTACGAGCCACTATTCATGCATATATACGCGATAATGGCTGGTCGATTATGGAGGGAGCTGAAGCGGCACAATTTCAACGAAGAATTATGAAAGACAATTATCTTTATTATATTATTATCTATCAGATAATAATATAATAAAAGGACTAATGTTTAAGTTGTAAATTGTCACATCGACTTTTGTCATGAGCTTATTATGCGAGTCCATAAGCAAGGATTCGCAAATATACCCGTTTGAAGCAGTTTGGACTTCACCGAAAAAGAAACGTGTAAAAGCTGTTTCGCAAATGAATATATGTTACAAAATTACTGCATTTTCAATATTACATTCGTGTATTATTGCATTAAGGCTAATTATATAAAGGAAGACGTAACACTGATCATTCACAGTGCTGAAGCTTCACAAGTGTTTAAAGCGACATTTATTATACAGGATTTACAAGATATAAATTAATTAAACATTTTGATGGCAGGCAGGGGGTTATAGTTGACTAATTTTTTATTAGAAACCCAGAAAAGAAATAAAAAACCTGGAAAAATAAAATATTGTTACATACGACTCCCTTAGGTGCTTTGAAAGTTTGTAAGGGGTATTTATTAGAGGCGTGCAATTTACTGTTCTGCTATCGCTCATTCCTGACTGCTCACGCTGCCGACTTCCGCTGCCTTATGATGAGTGGAGGGGATAGAAGTGACGGGAGCTCATCGGAAATGAGCTCGATTTGTCTCGATTGAGACAGTCTCATCAGATCAGATCATTCCCGATGAGCTTCCGTCACTTCTATCCCCTCCACTCATCGTGAGGCAGCGACTGCATCGGAAGTCGCCAGCGTGAGCAATCGGGAACGAGCGGGAGCAGAACAACAAATTACACGCCTTTAGTATTTATTTATTTATAGTACCCTGTATAGTACACATATAACATGTTCTATCTTGAGAAAGTATTTCTTCCCATTATTGCACTTATCACTATACGAGAAAGTCAACATATCTTGATAATATAGGGTGTGCCATTTTAATGTCCCACCCCAAATAACTCTTCAGTATTGAAGTTTCAAGGAAAATGATCTGAATAAAAGTTGTAGGGATTTAAGTGAGTTACCTTATAATGACCTTGACTTTGACTTTAACCTCTATTTTCAAGGTCATTTGAAGGTTAACTTGCGTTTTTTAAATGGAAACCCTTATTTTTTTATTACACTGTTTTTTTCTACTAGTTAATTTGAACAACTTTTGTCTGAAACATTTTCTTATTTGTCTAATATTTTTTGAGATATTTGAGGAAAACCTGATAACTTTTTCAATATTTAACTTACGATATCTCGCTAATTATTTGTCGGAAGAAAAAGTGGTACTAGACTTTCTTGCTTTATTTAGTCTCAAGAATATAATGTTACAATAGCGCCCTGATTTTTGTTAATTTGATGATTTTAAAATTTCCAAAAATCAGTAAGTTAACAAAAGTCAAGGCGCTATTATAATAATATATTCTTAAGACTAAATAAAGCAAGAAAATCTAGTACCACTTTTTCTTCCGGCAAATAGTTAGCGAGATATCGTAAGTTAAATATTGAAAAAGTTATCAAGTTTTCCTCAAATATCTCAAAAAATATTAGACAAATAAAAATATATTTTAGATAAAAGTTGTTCAAATTAACTAGTAGAAAAAAACAGTGTAATAAAAAATAAAAATTTCTATTTAAAAAACGCAAGTTGACCTTCAAATGACCTTGAAAATAGAAATCAAGATCAAAGTCAAGGTCATCATAAGGTAGCTCACTTAAATCCCTACAACTTTTATTCACATCATTTTCCTTGAAACTTCAATACTGAAGAGTTATTTGGGGTGGGATATTAAAATGAGACACCCTGTATTAAAACGTATTACAAATCGAAAAAAATATAATAGAAAATAATTTGTAGGCAAACATTCCGCTTGGAGGATACGATATGAGAGGTATACAGGATGTTGGCGATGACAGATAAATCTCTCGTGTGTGTGTAGGTTAGGTCAAAGTGAACAAAAATCCTGCGTGGTGCGTTTCACAGATAACCTTGTAGACTTTCCCTAAACAGCACAAGACAACCTTTGGATGATCTTGAATATATCCAGGATAAGATATTTTCAGGATATATTTATTTCTGTTGTAAATATTTTATGTATATATTTGACTTCATTAATTATAGTGCAACATTAAAATTATTTTGATACAAAATGTTAAATACTATAATAAAATATAAATTTCTCATCGTATAAAATATGGGTCTTCTCCGTTTAAATTACAAATATAAGGAAAAGAAAGCATTCGACTAAGGCACTCTTAGGAAAAATTACTTGAAATTCTCGAATTAACTTAAAATTACTTACAGTTAACTGTAAATAATTTATAGTTAACTATAAGTAACTTTAGGTAACTATAAGTAACTTTAAGTTAATTTGAACATTTTAAAGTAAATTTTCCTAAGGGCAGACTCAATAAATTGAATACATTAATAGCTCGATTCTTTAAGTATTATAAGATTTTAGAAATCTCAAAGATTAAAATTTGAAAATATTCAAAAATTTTTTGTTTCTAAAAATGAAATTGTACTAACAATATACCCAGTTTGCCAATTTCGATTTAGAATCGAGTAGTACTTTTTTTATGTTATTATGTTTGTAATTCAAACAGAAAAGACATAACTCGACGCAATTTGCTTATTATCGTACATAAGCATTCGCCGAATTTCTATCATTAACAGCAAATTTACGCGATTTATTTATAAAATATATGCTACAGATTTTTTGTCCAGTTTGACCTAATCAACAAGCATACAACGGCAGGAATCGCCGTCGCAGGCTCACTTACCGTATCGCGTGCGATCATTTGTTGATCTTCTTAAATGAGCAATTCAATTTTCGTTGTTTTGTCGACATTTTAACATAAAAGCCATGTGGTTTTCATGTAGTCGTCGCAAGATGGGGAAATTTTTGCTCCGTTTCACCTAGTCTACACGCGCCCGCGAAAGATTTATACGTCATCGTCAGCCACTCTGCATAATTCCACTAAGCCTTCGTAAAAATACGTACCACCACAACACGAAATTTGCTCATCTCCGTCTCCTTCGTTTCTCCTTCTGCTCGACGTCGAAGCTTGTTTCGACTGCTTTTCATTCCTCCTGTTGTTTTTGCCGGAAATTAGAATATGACGAACGAGGACTGGAATGTCGGAGTAAGCTGGTCTTAGACTTCTTTTTAATGCCTGTCCCTATGACGGTTAAAAAATAGTTCCTGAGCGATCGCCACATCGTAAACGTTGCAGATGTAGAGTTTCTTACCCATGTGGATTAGCATGTGCTGCTCCATTTGATGCTTTAGGTTGAACTTCTTGCTGCAGACACTACAGACATAAGACCTACCACCAACGTGCACTGATAAGTGCCCCATGAGCATGGTATCGTGGACATTCTTGTTGCAGAACGGGCAGAAGAATAGATCTTTGCGGTTCTTGTTCTTTTGCAAGGACTTCATTGGTCTCTTATATGAATTATCTACCTCATTAATAATCGGCCCCAAGTCGCTGCGACTGTAACTTATAAGCTGCTCCAAGGACCATGTGCCCTCTACCTCGTTCTTACCTTCTTCATTCTCATCGTAGGATTGTCCACCGAAGTATGTATCCTTGTGCTTCTTTATTATGTGCTTTTGCACTTTGTATTTTAGATCCATATAACCACATAAGTCGCAGATGCACACAATGAATTCGTGCCTCTCTTTCATGTGGCGTTCTACGTCTTCCAACGTATTGAAGCTCTGATCACAGATTTCGCACTCATGATACATATTCACGTCTTTTGCAACGGCGATATTTACTGTGAAAACTCCGTTGAGTGTATTGCCCATCAAGGACGGCCCGAAATAATCCGAAAAGTCTCTCTGCCGGTTCCATTTTTTTGCGACTTTACGCGCGCCATGATCCTCTCGTTGCGCCGCAATGTGCGAAGTCGATTTATTTCTGCTTTGCCTCATCGATGTGCACCTCATATTTTCAATCAGCCAACGAGACCCGAACTCGTATGCGTCCATAAACGTTCACGAAGTATCACACGACGTCCAGTACTCTCGCTCGCTTCTTTCTGTTGAGGTTTCCAGCGAGTCGACAGATCACGTTTGTCTGCCACTGCTTATGGACTTCTGACTGCTTAATCACTTCTGACAAAGCCGAAGTGTGTTCCTTATGTAGCCTACGGTGTAAATATTGAATATCTTTGCTAACCTCTGTTATTGTTATTTGAACGCTGGCTGTCTCGTCCCAATCAACGCAACCAACTACTGCCGAATAACTTGAAAAATCAAAACACACGTAACGAATACATTATAATAGCCGGTTTCGCGATTTTACCGCCTTTTGTCACGTAACGAGAAAAGTTGTTGTTACACAACATAAAAAATAAAAATAAAAGCTTATACGTAATGAATATGTTTTGTTATAAAGTTTCGCAATTTTATTGTCGTTTTCTATCGACAATATCAATTGTCCAATCCACGCATGTATGTTACAACAGTTATCCCAGTAAACACAGTTACATAATAGTTACATTGTCGTAACGTAACGAAATGTAACACGTAATATAACGTGTATGTTACAAGCACATACATGTTAGTTGTAATTTCCCACTCATAAAAAGTTGCAGTTATATAACGCAAATATTACATGTTATTAAAATGTTATATAGCTGTTATATAATTGTAATATTATTGTTATATAAAAAATTATTTCTAATTTTCTCGTGTCTTGCGCGTCCGTCGATAATTTCGATTCCAAGCGGTCATCCCATTCATGTGCTGATCGCGATATAAAGTTCTGCTTAACCTGACACCCGAGTGGCACGCAGTTATCCCAATGACTCGAATGATGTTCTTGTGACTTGTACTTATATGATGTATCCTTATAATCAGAACATTATATAACTTTTCAGAACATTATATAACTTTTCTTGTTAAAAATTAAAACAACGTAACAACATGCGATATGCCAATATTAGTATAGACCGTGTTTCAAAATTACCGGTAATGGATAATAATGATTAACACAAAAAAATAGTTTGAGACAAATTCAAGGAAGTCCAAATAAAAAGTTTTAATTACAAAATCTAAAAACACTTTTGAAAAATATTATTTCAAATCCTGTTTTTCATCAACATAGTTTTCTTCAATGAAATGGAGCTTTTATTTTTTTAAATGATATCGTAAAAATATAACATTTTAATGAAACAACTCAAAATCAAACAAGTAAGAATATTAAACCTAACGAAATTTTTCTCTGTGTGAGTTTTGTATAATATACAAGTGTTCTTAAACGTTTAAATAGGGATAAGTATAAGTGCAGATGTTCCCACGAAAACAGGAACGTTGTGTCCACGTGAAATTTATGTGATTTTGTGGATTTCACGTGAATGCAACGTATATTCCACGTGGATTCGACATACTTTTTTGTGGGAATATACATATCGATATGCATTATGAACGTCAATATAAATAAGCAGTATGGTCTACTCAAGCGCGATGAAGGCATTAAAAATACAGAACATTAAAAATACAGAAAAACATTGAACTATACAACAAAGCATCCACAAAAAAGTGGAACGGAATTTCTAATTGAGCCACCTGCCATTTCTTTTATTTGTTATTGTTCCGCTTTGCTATTTCTTTCTCTATCGGAATGCACCCTTATTCGCAATAAAAAACATTTGCAGCGTTTAATGAATTGCATGAATAATTGTGTTATATAACATCAATGTAATATGAACGTAATTATTGTTATATAACTGTTATATTACTGTTATATTATTATTATAATGTTATCTCCAGCTTATAACAAAACAATGTAACAGATATATAACACGATCATATTACAATTATGAATCAAATTATATAACCTCAATATAACTAGAGTATAACATATAATAAAACTCTACAACACTATTCTACTGTACAAAAGAAGTGATATATTAAAACAGTAGCGCCAACTGAGAAATCTAACATATATATATGATTATTGTATACTTAATATTTTTAGAAATCTCAAATTCAAATTATTTCCTTTTTTTAAGATACATATTATGTACATAACATAAGTTTTTACAAGTAAAACTTATCAAATTATTTTTCTCTTAAGATATATATGTACATAACATAAGTTTTTACAAGTAAACATTACATCGTGTTATAAAAATTTAACATGTTTATTAATAGTGTCTAATATTTAAAAAAATCTGTTTAAAGGTTATTATTATTCAAGAAAAATATAACTACAAAAAATGTCCATAACATAAATTTTTACAAGTAAAATTTATCATTATTTATTAGAACACTGAATTATATGGTTATTTTACTTGTTACTGTAACAAATTAGTTATTATAACAATGCAATAAAAAATATTTAATACAAAAAATCTTGGCGCGGCTGCACCAAAAACTATATCGAAGATATATGTATATAAAAGTCAAATTACATATTATCATTGACACTTCGTCAATTACAATAAGAATAACATCTTTGAATAAAAAAATATCAAAATATGGAGAATATATACACATTCGATATGTATATTCTATAGGTTTATTTATAATTTCTTATAACCAAAAACGAACGATTGCGATGTGCGCGAGCTATTATATATAATATTTCACTCATATGGAACTACAAAGTTCAAATAAAACTATTCAATACCGCGCTATAAATATAATACGTGTCGATAGAATCAAGTTAATTTCAACAAATATATTATATTATTAATATTCAATACATTCTAATATTATTTTGACATACCTATTTTAAGAGTATTTACATTAGATGTATTTGTAAAGAAATGGTTTATATTTTACTATTGTATGAGTTTTAGACATTTTAATATTAAAGAAATGTTTCATCGATAAATGAATAATTACTCTATATAAACTTAAATAAAACATTACACCGTATATGTATAGAGAGAATTTACAAGTACATTTTATTATAATAAAAATGCTGTCATGTATGTATTAAACAAGTTTTAGTTCGATATAGTTTTTGGTGCAGCCGCGCCAAGATCTTTTGTATTAAATATTTTTTATTGCATTGTTATAATAATTAATTTGTTGTAATAACAAGTAAAATAATCATATAATTCAGTATTGTAATAAATAATGATAAATTTTACTTGTAAAAATTTATGTTATGAACATTTTTTGTAGTTTGATTTTTCTTGAATAATAATAACCTTTAACAAATTTTTTTTAATATTAGACACTATTAATAAACGTGTTAAATTTTTATAACACGATATAATGTTTACTTGTAAAAACTTATGTTATGTACATATACAGGGTGTCCCATTTAACCTGACAAATCGTAATATCTGGAGAACTACATGTCGGATCAAAAAAAAGTGGGTAATGAAATTTGTTCGTCTCGAAGGGGGACATCCAATGATATCAAACTCGACCTCAAAGTTGCCCCCCACACCCACCCCACTCCTAGGGGGTGGGTGTGGGGGGCAACTTTGAAATCTTAAATGGGAACCCCCATTTTTTATTGCAGATTCGGATTCTACGCCACAAAATACGTAAGTTTCGTCCGAAACCTTTTTTTTGATTCGTGATAGATGGCGATGTAATCGCAAACAATAAGTTTTCTGCAATTCTCCGGAAATGATCATTGGATTGTGTTCGCGCAAAGGCGAAATTGGTTTCGCCTCGAGCGACTCGTGATTAGCACGTGAACCCGGCGCGATGTTGGTCATATCTATGCAAACTTCGATACGTTTTTCTGTTGTTTGCTCCCATCAGATAAACACGACCATCTTAAGTCGTGGAAAAAAGCACGCGTGCTCAAGTCGTGCGCTTCTGGCACAGGCCGACAACGCTCATCGCTAGCCAGCCAATAGGCGATCGACACCGCGCTACATGTGCGATGGCTCGTGTTGGCCGTGTGATCGACGTCGCGCTCGCCGGTACGTCGTTCTCGCGCGTTTTCACGCGGCTCCGTCTAGATCAGAGCTCGGCAAAAAATGCACGCGACGGCCGATTTTCGACTATCTCCGCTCACCGCTGTTCCCTTTACCTCGCCACTCCGCATGCTGCCCACAAGCCGCTCGAGCCTCAGGAGCGTGTTTCCAACAGTTTTCCACGTCACCCATGAGATACTATTGTTGACGCGTTTTTTTTAAGTGGTATCCCCAGTAGGCCTAATCCACTGATGACTGTAACAACCCGTAACTAATTGAACAGAAGCGAAATAAAATATGTTAAATGAAGAATATTTAATTCGATTTTCGGCGTCTTTTATTAGTAAGAGCGGAAACGTCAATTTGCATATTGCATGTAGCGAGCCGCATAAGACGTGGTAAGGAATCGTCGTTTAAAGAAGAACGCTTCTCATTTTTTATAAACTTCATTTTCAAAAATAAAGTTTATAAAAATTATTTTTGAAAATGAAGTTTATAAAAAATGAGAAGCGTTCTTCTTTAAACGACGATTCCTTACCACGTCTTATGCGGCTCGCTACATGCAATATGCAAATTGACGTTTCCGCTCTTACTAATAAAAGACGCCGAAAATCGAATTAAATATTCTTCATTTAACATATTTTATTTCGCTTCTGTTCAATTAGTTACGGGTTGTTACAGTCATCAATGGATTAGGCCTACTGGGGATACCACTTAAAAAAAAACGCGTCAACAATATAGTATCTCATGGGTGACGTGGAAAACTGTTGGAAACACGCTCCTGAGGCTCGAGCGGCTTGTGGGCAGCATGCGGAGTGGCGAGGTAAAGGGAACAACGGTGGGCAAAGATAGTCGAAAATCGGCCGTCGCGTGCATTTTTTGCCGAGCTCTGATGTAAATGATAGCATTACATACATATTCATTTAACGTCGATGGCTAATTTATAGCTATAAAATTATTAACATTAAAGAAATTATGGTTTATAACTTTTTTAACTACACTCAAATTTAAAAATATTTTTCACTTAAAATATTATTAAACAATTAATACTCTCCTTTAATATGCTGTTTTACAAATTTTATGAAGCCTTTTGCCACTTTTCTTCACAATCACTATTTGTTTTCTTCATTTCTTCAATTATAACTCAAAGTCTCCAAGACATTTGTGTCTACGCCACAATCACTACTTATTTGACACTCGTATATGCCATCCTTCTGCTCTCGTAATAAGTGACAGCGC